ATATATACAGAAAGCGTCGCACTGCACACACATACGCACACATATTCCTCTGTTACAAACAAACTCACACAGATGGAAAGCAGGATTAGGGGGTCGTAAAGATACACCGCTGCGGCAGAAAACAGAGCGTGCAAAGGAATGAAGCTGGTGTGAGATAGGGTGCAACGAAAGGTAGTCTTCATAGGGAGTAAAAGACAGTGCACTGTCAAAAGCTTTTGATATACATTGTAACAAGCACCACCACGGGTCCTTGTGAGGGTTCATCTATACTCTGAACCCAGGCCAGAACTCCTAAACCACAAGCCCGAGACACGAATACTCCAAATACCCAAACTCAAACCAGAAATCAATAATACCCACCGTCGCTCAGGCTCGGACGAAACCTCGGTCGTAGATGGAGGCGCGGAAACCGCCTCGGGTTGACCTTTGCTCTTTCGTTTTTGTACATGTCTCTGTGCTTTGCCTTTGAAGTCTTGGCTTGGGTTTAGAGGTTGGGGTCTCGCGCTCGCGATTTTGAGGGTCTTGGGCCGAGGTTCCGGACCGGGCTTGGGGTTTCGAGCTTGGGGGTTGGGATTTCGGGGTTGGGGCTAGGGTGTGGGGTTGAGACTGTGGGCTTACGGCCCTGCTCGACTATCTTTGCGAAGGCTCCAGTGTCTTTGGGATTTGTTTCAGTCATGTCATCCTTAGCCACCTTAGTCAAGAGGACCAGAGCCTCTCGCTGTGTGCAAGGCCTGACAGGATTTCTCTGGTGGGCTCCTTCTTCATGGCAACTCACTTCGACATAATTCCGACCGGTTCTTGTGTGGTTTAACCGGTGTAGGTAAAAACATTCAACTAACAAAAATACTCGAATACAGAAATAGGCAAATACAAACAAGTACATACACAAAGAAAGACAAGCAGAGAGAAAGAAGGGTACAACCAAATAACGAAGGACGCTGTATTAGCAAACAAGCAAGCGAGCAAGCAAGCAAGCAAGCAAGCAAGGTGAACGTATTTGCATAAATATACATATATTTATCAGATGTATAGATATATATATATATAGAGAGAGAGAGAGGTCAACTTTAGAGTTGAGCACTTATGATTATCAGAAGAGCGACTGCTTAGCTTCAAATTCTGAAAGAAATCAAATCACACCCCATGGCCTGGAGGCGTGGCTTGAGGGTGTACATGGGGCTTCTGGCTTTTAGGACTCTGGGGCTTCGAGTTTTCGATTCTGCGTCTGGCTGTTCTCGGACATTGAAGTGAAGGGGCTTCTCGCAGAATTCGATGGTGGTCATCGCCTGGCAGAAAGGTCAGGGTAGACTAGACGGCTGATGAACAAGTAGATGATGACTCCGCTCGTCAAGCACCATAGGTGTACAGTACGAGCCGCCAGATTTCAAGCCTTTGCTAAGCAAAAAAACCCACGCTTTATCCAAAAGCCTAAACGCCAGAAGAATGCCCTGAAGCGAAGCTCTCCCAATTCGGTCAATCGACGCATCCTGACTTTGTTCCGAAACTGTTGACCCTAGCCTTGATCAGGTTTTTGGGGCTCCTAATACTCTCGGGCTCAAGCTGTCGTGCAGTTTTGTGTACGGCTTTGTCCAGTACAGTAGAGTGTAAGTACCACAGGGCTCCATGATCTTAGCAATGGCCGTGGCAGACAAGCAGGATTTGTGGAATAGAGGTCGTGGCTAGGGGTAGTGGCCATCTACTTCGGTGGCATGTTCGAAACCCCATGAAATGACAAAGCTCCCTGTCATAGCTACCCGCTTTGCATCCACTTCAACCTGGAGCCAAAAAAACAACGGAGATATCGGCATGTCTGCAAGGGCACGAAGATACCTTTCCTGTGTTGGCGTATCTGGCCAAGGGCTCGGGGTACGCAGGCAAATTCTTCAGGGCCTGCGATGCGAAATTGAAAGCTCAGCCCTGAAGATGTGCCATACCCTGGCCCGAACTGACTCAATGCTGCACGTTACGAGCTTTGCAAAATCTAAGTCCAAGTCCCCAACGCAGCACCCCATTCGCCCCGCGTAAAGGTGACTTTTGACCGACTCTTCTCGTTCCCCGGAAGGCCTGCAGCATCAAGTAGATGTGGAAGCCCAAAAACATGGTGACTAGGACCTTGGAGCTCTCAAGGTCAAGGCCTCCTTTCGCTTCGGATTTAGGGTGACTAGGACCTTGGGGGTCTTAAGGTGCTACAGGCCCTGGAGGAGGAGAGTCAGAGTTGGGGTGGAACATAAGCCCTCAGAGGGCTGAGCCCTAGGCTAAACCGGCAGAGAAGCGTGACAGCCTTCAAACCGCAAGATGCGTCAGTGTAGATCCAGGGACTCACCAAGGATTCCTGCTTAAAGACCCTGCCTCGAAGCCTCGCAGTGTGTTTCAATTCCGGACAGCTCTTGCAGGACCTAGGCCCCAAACCTGAAACCTAAACCCGTAGCAACGGCTGAGAAACGGGATGTTGAATTGAGATCTGGTCCATGAATTCCTGCACATTAAGTCTAGCGATTGAGGGAGCCGATGCTCCTTTGTGAAGGGCTCTTTCAACCTGCGACGAGGCCCCAACACAGAGGAATCCTGCCAAGGTCTCTCCGAAGATCAAGAGAAACCTGAGCCAGACGGCCAGGGATTTCAGGAGGTGCATAAGGATTTATGAAGGGCTCGATAGGCGTGATATCAACTTTGTGCAACGGGGTGTGATTTCAGGGATTCTTTTGGTGTACGATTGAATGGCACCGTGCGGTTTTGTTCGGGATGCTTCACATGGTAAGCTTCAGCGGCAGCTTTGCGTGTGGGGAGACGAGGCAACCAAATTGAAAAGAGTGCCTCAATCAATTCTGGGGTGCGAGCTCCAAAGAAGGCAAATCAAAGACTGTGGGCACAAGGAGCCAGCGGTCCCCAACACATTGCCACAACGACTGCAACGAGAGCTAGAGCCACAAGCAACCACAAGCAAAACAAGGTCATTGATGCCAAGGAGCATCGTCATGAAGGGAGTCGTCGGCTGTGTGCCGGCCCTGCAAATGCATGCATAACGGGGCTCTGCAGTTTCAAGAAACCTCATAAGTTGGGACATAGACTGCAACCCGGAAATGCCTGAAGCATGAAGCCCAACACCAAAAGCAATTTTGGAAGGACGTGCCACTGCAGGCAGAATGGGTTGGCGTCTGTCCACTTCAACCTTGACAGTTTGCAAGGCTCCTTCCACTTGAAGCCCCTGTCGAGCCTTACAGATGGAAGCATGGTCGAAACGACGAGAACGCAGTCCTTGGGCGCAACAACGAGGACTGGGTTCATATTTACTGGTTTAACGGGCTTGCGGCTGCAGGATTTTGATTTAAGGTGTTGAGGTGTACGGCAGTTTATGGTTTAAGGAATTCCGTAGTCGAGGGACGCATGGCTTTAAATTTGGGGCTCAGGGCTGGGAGGGGCGGTAGGGCCTGTAGGGGTTCAGGTTTTGGGGTCTGATCTTGAGCCGACTGCGGCGTTCTGGGGTGCATGGTTTCGAAGGCGAGCCAGTAGAGTGTAGGGATCCGAAATCCTAGACTCTTGAAGATCAACAGCCAGTAGCCAAGAATCTCGTGATGTCAAACGTGGTACCCTTTAGGATGGAGGAATTCAATCCAACAGCAAAGCCGCACTAAATGCTCGTTCCCTTCCTCTCGAAGGCATTTTTGCTAGAGTAGGCTGAGTGCACCGAATCAATGTTCTGCTTCTTTTGAGGACCTTGGTCGCAGAAACCACATGTTATTATGCTGCAAGTCTTCAGTTCATGGAGCCTCTGCGCTACTCTTCGATTTAGGGCGACGGCTGGGGTTTCGGGTGCTTTATACACCGATGCTTTTGCTCTGACGGCATATGATCAAATTGATGATGGTTATGCTGCTGCTATAACCGTGATGACGACCATGCGGGTGACTGCGGTCATGAGTGTGATACTGACGAGGGTGAACGATGCCGTTGGTTATAATGATGTCAGACGACACTTTTGATAATTGCCAACGATGCCAGATGCAACCAAGGTGTAGTAGCGACGACGCAAAGTATACAATACAAACATGATAGCGCGTGGATATCGAATGCCATAGGCAGGTTGTTCTGCACACTCAGCAACGACTTCTAATGCCGCGCTTCCACGACGACTGCTACTATCGCTGCTACGACAACGACGACGACTACCACTACTAGCACGACGACGACAGCGACGACTTCCACCGGGCCTTGGGAGGGGATGCATGTAAAAAAAGGAAACGAAAGGAATACCAACGTGCTAGTCATTCAGTCCCCTTCAGAACAGTGCATCCAAAGGTCTATGTTGGTGTACACCAGGAGCAGGAAGAAGTATTTGTAGTTCCTGCAAGCAAAGCCGTGAGAAGCCGACCCTCAACCCTGAACCTTGATTTTAAACCCGGAAGGCGCAGGTTGTGGACGCCTAAACGCTAGCATGAACTTTTCTCTGCAGTAAAACTCCGCCCCTGCAACTTCCACATCACAATCCTCATTCATGAAGAGAACGGTCCCTGAAGCAACTGGCTTTGCCTTCTGAGGCCCTAGTCTTCTTATCCTGGTACAGAGTTGAGGATTTCCCATGGCGAGCTTACGACTCTGGGCTCTAAGGTCCTAGTGTTCCGATCCTACTATAGTTCTTTGTCGGCTTTGTCCCGTCGTGTTCTCCTTGCTGTTACAGGGTTTAGGGAGTCTAATGCAGAAGACTCGTCAAAGGTTGACAGGTGTTGAAATCCGAAAACATGCGACTCAAGACTTCAACCTGACAACCCACAACCACGAAAGCCGCAAAGCCTAGCAGCGCTGACCTGGGGAACCCGAAACCCTTGCAGTTATGAATTCTGAGATTCGAGGTTGGGATTTCCTGGGGACTGCGGCCCACTGTGACCCTCGGAGCAAGCACGGAAACTTTCACATCTAGGTCAGAACACTGCATCGATGGCTTGGGTTTGGGATGTTAACCTCCTTGAGTAGTGGGATCCCGGCAATTCCTTACGTATAGAAACCAGCCAGCAAGTCTCCCGGAGGGCTTTGCTTCTGCCCGGAGCACGCTTTACGAGTTTGGAATGCAATTAAGGCTTGCGGTCTATGATTCGGGCCCTTTGCATGAATAGCAGCAAAGTACCCCTGCAATTCCTATACTTACTCAATGCAGCCATGTATGCAGGACCGTAAACGGCTCCCCTGCAGAACTTCGAAACACCTTCAGCAAGGGATCTTCCTGAGAATACCGTGCCCATAAACACAAGCGACCCTCAATCTAGGGACATTGGAGCCCGTGTAAACCACCGTACTGTAAGTCCTACAGCTTACCTGAGCCACCCTGCAAACACCAAGACCCCCAATCTTGAACCCGAAATCCTACACCCTACAAGCGAGTGCTAAACCGATGGGCCTGAAGCCCACACAGTTATATATCCAGGGGCAGTGATGGTCCATCTTCAGGATGCACATTCGGCAAACCTTCGGGTCTGGACGGCTGCTTTGTTAAGGCTCAGTATTTAGGGTTCTGGAATGAAGTTTTTGGTGTCGAAAATCAGGAGACGTGAAGTAGTAGCTTGGTTTCTGGACTTTGGAGAGCTGTGTTTTCACGTCCGTGGAAATTCAACAGGATTGTCGTCAGCTTTCCTGAGGATCGCAGCATTCTGCTTCTCGTTGAAGCGCGGGGCTGACTTAAGTTGCTTAGGGAAGACAGTTCGGTTGAGCTGTCTTTTTGCTTGTTTTTGGAGTGCTTTAGCTTGTGCAGATTTCGAAACACGTCTTTGCTCCTCTTTGCGGCTTATCCTTCAGGACGACTGGGTGGTTCTCTGAATTGGGGGCGGGGGGTGACTTTTTACCATCCCTGTTATATAAGTGCTGTACTCGTGCGGGGAGCTAAACTTTACACCAGAACCTTACAGTCCTCATAACCCGCAGGCACTTACCTCCGAAATCCTGGTTCCAATGGGCCAGAACATAAGGCCAAGGCCCGACAGTGATGGGTCCGATCAGGCTTGTACCTGGCTATGGCCCGGCATTTAGGATTTCAGGTTGAGGGTTCGGGGATTCAGTGCTTGGAGTCGAGGATTCACAAGAATGTGTAGCCATACTGCATAAAAGGGTGCCGATGCTTCGTACAGTGAATGATCATCGCTGTTGATTGCTCTCAACCCCGAACGGAAGGCACTAAACCTCTAAAGCTCTAAACCCTACCCCCAAATCGTAATCCCGAAGCGGCATCAACCCTACAAGAAGAAGCCTGACGCTTAGTAACCATCCTGAACGAAATTCCCCAACGCGTAAAGCCCCTCAACACACCCACGGAAGAGACGAACTACCATCTACAAACTCTAACACAGTCTACAAGCCAAAGGAAGACTGACAGGCTAAAGGGCCGACTCAGTTGGGAATGAATGGCAATGCGGTAAGACTGGAAAATTAACTTAAGACCACCGACAAACTCAAAACCCGGTCCAAACCCTTATCAAAGACAAATGTCGGGACCAGATAAATGCTCCGGAAGCCTAGACCCTGAATTCAAACTCCTAAAAACCAGAAGACACGTGACATACTCTAAATCCCTAATCGCAGTAGATCCTCATACCTCCAAAGCTGATGACGATTGAAGCACTTCTCTATCCCTGACCCCTCAACCGTATAAACTCCCGACATCGGGGAACCGCGGAAACACCTAACACATAGCATGGCATAGCAGCTTAGCATATTTTAGCATGCATACATATTATCGTAGACTATATTAGGTATAGTATATGGGCTTTCAAGAGAAACAGGCACGACTGATAGGTCCAAGGTGCTTCAGGCACCACTTACACTTCCGTCGCTCCCCAGAGCGCTTCTGCTCCTGCAAAAAGAAAGGGGGGAGGGTTCTTATGATATCTTAAGGTTTCGAGATTCAGGGCTTCAGGGTGTAGCCTTCAGGGATTTCGGCCTCAGAGTGTATGGAGCTTTCCACCTTAAGGATTCAGGGAGTGAGGTTGAGGGTTCAGAGTTTCAGAGAGGATGGGGATTCAGGGGGGGGGAGGGTGTTGAGGGTTGAGGGCTTCACTGTGAGGCTTCTTGCAATGTTTTGCTTGAAAGGGTTTAGGATCGTCAGCTTGGCCTTCGGAGGTTACTGTAAGGGCTGTTGGACCGTGTACCTGCCCGAACACGAACACAGACCAAGCTCAAGCTCATTCTTCGGGGTTTCTAAACGCAGGGAGGAAGTCCGGGTGGCTTCGAATCCCAAGGAAGCCTCAAAGGAAAGTCCTTCGTCCCTGGAACCCCAAACCCGAACCCCGCAAGCTCCCCAAAGGCCCTCTGTACCGGCACCTGCACCGCCTAAAAACTCCTTAAGCCTTAAGCTCGCCTGTCTGATGTGCAGAGCCGTATCCACGGCGATGGGTTGGGGATCCTGTTCGCAGTGAAGACAGACTTCTTGAGCTCGGCTACTTGTAAAAAACTGACAGGGTTCTCATCGGGCTTTAAAAAATGCAGGCTCCGAAGAAGGGAAGTAATAAAGACCTCCTGCGTGGCCTAAGCCTCAAGCTCTCGAAACTCCAAGGCCCGAAAGCTTGCAAAAGAGTGAACCCCACACTTTATGCGGCGCTGTCCGGGCTTTCCCATGATAAGGTCCAAACCTCAAACACACTGAAGGCCCAGAGCTCCCGAACCACAATCGCCTTGGATCACTGAAGACCTAAGGCGCCAAAGCAACCCTAAAACCCTGCAGCCCCCAAACAACCGCAATTATCCTCAGCAACAACTCTTAAGCCTGGCACTTTTCAACCCCAAACCCTTGAAGATCTGAAAATGATGAAGCCCGGACCCGCAAAATTGAAAAGCCCGCGGCAAAGCCGCACAGATGAAGCCTCCAGCCCGTGGCCCGTGAGCCCGCCTCGGAGCCATCGTACTCCCAGGAAGGGTCCTGTCGGATCGACTGCCTTTTGGGTACTGGCTTAAAACTCAGCCTTATGAGCTTCGGGATGTAGGGTTCAGAGTTCTATCGCTTTCCAGATCACATGGGTTAGGATCTTGTGGCTTTGGATTTGGGATTTGGCGTCACAGCTGTGGAGGAGCACCTGGCCTGCAAGCACTCAAGCGATGATCCGAACCCATTAGAAACTCAAATGCAGACGAAAAGGTTCACACTCTAGGATTTCGGATTTATATAGGGTTTGGGTTGTGGGACGCTGCAAGGCTTACCTGAGACCTCAAGCCCTCAGATCCGAGCCGCACGCTTGGCAGAATACATGCAGGAGCCCATCCAGAACCGATCAGACAAGGCATGTTGGGGCAAAACGATGCATAAGCCTAAGCATGTACTGAATTTGGAGGCTCCTGTAACAACATTTTCGGTTTAAGGACAGATTTCGATTGCTTGTTCTTGTGAATGCGCTCGGCTGCAACGCTCAATCGGTAACTCGACGCTGTCCGCGACACCTTGACCCTGAACCGAAAAGATAGTCTAAGAATCTGGGTGTAGGCATCTTGTCCTCAAGTGCTGCTACTCAGTTGTCGTCTCATGCTGCTTCTTCTTGCAGTGGCTACGGCACGATCATCGCACTGACGGCTCCTGCAACTTTCGGACTTTCTGTGTTGATAAGGACTTACTCCTTAATTTCTGAATTCTGCATTGCCTAAGATGTGAGCTTGTCTGCGTACGAGCCAGCACAACCCAAACTCCCCACACCCATAACCCTATCCCAGAAACGTGAACCTAAACTACCTGACACTTAGCCCGCAATTCAAGTCAACTGCCAAAAACTCCAAACACCAATCCAAAACCCTCAAACTCCCACGGCCCCATTTTGCCGCTTCGCAGCTCGGCCCTCGGACAGGACCTGGACCACTTCCCTGTGGCCTTTGGCTGAGGCCAAAGAAAGAGCCGTGTTCCCGACACCTGGATTTCGAAGGTTGCGCTTTCAACCATGAGGCTTCTGCACTGAAACTTCAAAAACAAGCATCGCACTAGCTTAAGTGGCTCAACTGAAGTTGTTGAGCAAGACCAAGGCACGGTCAATGAGGCTAGTGTCGGCGAAGGCCTCCAAGAGGAGTCGCACATTACCTGAGTCGTAGTCGTAGTTTGGTGGAATTCGAAACATTTGAAAGCGGCACGTATACCTTTTGAAGAGCCACAAGAAAAAAGTTTTGTGCCCCTGCACGTCCCCGCTTCGTCCATAAGACCATGCGGGACTTACGAACAGTTGCCCCGAATTAGGCATCTGGTTACTGTCGAGGCCAAGATCGGAAGCTGCATGCAGTGCGGTGCGGTGATCGTCGTCCTGGACTGTTCTTCGAGGCCCTGTCAAAAACTTGCTCTCACCTCTTTCTTGAAGGGCTTGCTGTTCTTATCCGACACCCTGAATCCTGAACCCGATCGGCCCTATTGACCCTAAACTCTAAATGGCAAAGCGTCACCCAAGTCAGGGTCAGCTCTGGCTTTCAGGATCAGGCGCAGAAGAGCAAGATTCCCTTGTCTCGCTGCCACATGCAACGGTGTCCGCCCGAAGTTGTCAGCCAAGTTCTTCTCGGCTCCTCCATCCAAAAGAACTTCCAAGATAATCTGGAAGCCACGTGAGATCAGGTCATTGTCTTGGGAACGGTGGAACTGAGCCATCTCTTCGTGCGAATGAAGGACTGCATGAAGAGGTGTTCTGCCATCGTCGTCGGCGAGATTTCTTAGATTTCTGATAAAGGGCTCAGTTTGAATTACCTAATTGGGGATAACTGATAAGCGTTTTCCGCTGCACCCCCGTATTCTATATCATCCAATCTAACAAAAATACGAAAAGCACCCTTGAAAAAACGCCGGGGGGCATGTCCGCCCCAGCCCGCAACAGCTGCCACACCATCATGACGTCCCCTCTTCTCGCGGCACTCACCTTAGAGTCGTCGAGTTCAGAGGACACGATTCCGTTTCGGTGTGGGGCTTAGGTGTCTGAGGAGCTAGGGGTTTAGGGCTTTGGTGGTTTAGGACTTCAGGGTTAAGCGTGAGCAGGAAATTCCTACCAAGTTGGCTGCGTGCAACTCCACTTGTCACCTGTTGTTGATGTACCTTGATCTTGATCTCTTCAAAAATACCCGAAGCCCTGCAAGCAGCACCGTCGGTCTTCGTGAACTCCCTGAAGTACCAACCATCCAAGCAATATCAAAGAACAGCTCGCAATCACCGCCCCGCATGAGAAGACCAAGAGACCAGCGCAGTTTTGCCGCGACTGTCTGCCAAATCCTTGTCGGCCCTTGCTGCCAGCAGCAAGCCGACCACCTCACCGTGACCTCGACGCGAGGCACCTCATGGAGCTCTTTAAAGGTGTTTCATTTTTGGCTGCAAAACTCAGCGGCTCAGGCATTGAGAGGAATTTGCAAGAGCAAGGATTTGTATGCTTTAGGGCCTCCAGGGTCCAGAAGTTGTTGATTTGCTGAGGCTCCTTTGGTTCGCAGTACTGAGGGAATCCTCCATGGAAGGGTTGCCGTGTTGGGGATTTAGCACCTCGAAAGCCTACGCCTGCAGGAGTTCGGGATCGACTACGGCCTAAGACCCTAACCCGAACCCTGAAACCCGCGGCACTGCACACCCGTAGTCTTTTTCGACAACCCCCCCACCTATCAAGGCGGTCCAGCCGAGACATCCACGATTGTCCTGGGGTCGGGAACCAGCGAGACGAAGCGCGGTCTCTCCCTCTTCTCCATCTTGCCCTCTCGCGCTCGCTCTCTCTCTCTCTCTCTCTCTCTCTCCCTGTCTCTCTCTCTCTCTCTCGCGCT